TGATAATAAAAGCCTCTCACCAAGAATGATGGGACCTGGACGGTGGTGACATTATGGAGCCATTGTTCCCAGTCCTGCTTGCGTACCTCTTGTTTTCTTGTTGCACGAGAAAAATAAACCCTTTTGAACAAAAACATTTTCTCAAAGATTTTATTTCATGAAAAATATATGTATGAATCAATTAGGCATTATATAAGTGTCAGAGGATATATTAAGGGCCTTTGCTCCTTTGTTTGAGTCAGATACATTCTAAATAAGAAAATTAGCCATTGGTAACAATTTTCAGTCCTTTATTTAAAAATCAGTGGTGACCTGTAAATTAACGTGTTATTTATGCATGAAAAAAAAATTCCTGCCAATACATCAGTAACACCATAAATTGTATCTATTTCTCGTTTTTGTCTTAGAGAAAAGCTAAGGACTTTGAATTAAAATTTTCCTGGCAAAATGTCCATGCCAAGGAAGTATTGAAGCAAGTATGATCAGAACAGATATTTTAAGCAAATTCTGTTTTCTACAACTGGTTCCGTTAAAGGGTCATTAAATCTTTCTAAGACTTTTTATTAGCAGGTAAATATAGTTATCAGATGAGGAGATTAGGTAGCTGGCTAATTAAATTTGTATTAAGGCAGCTTAAGCAATGACTCTTCCTGCTGATTGTAAACCAAAACTAAGATTGAGCTTTATATTTAGACTTCCTGTTGTAATCCCCTGGGTATGTCACATAGATGTTTCATATCCAGAGAAACCCATTGTCACTAGATTTCTTTTTGTCCCATCACCACCAACAGGCAATAGGAATCTGTACAGCAGCAGGGGAGGGGAAAGAACCAAACGTTAATTGGAAAAGGCTCTTTATATCAGGATTAGGAGGGTTTCTTATGGCTTTATCTGTGGGATAGTGCTGTTGTTGGAGTTATCTTATGCCAGGTAACCCATTTGAATTCTTCATGACGTTGGTGGATGTCAGCGATTGAGTTGAATTGAATTGAATTGAATTGAGCTGAACTGAATTGAATAAGAGGTGGTGAGAGAGACCACCTTGCCTTGTTCCTGATCTCAGGGGGACCACGCTCAGCCTTACATCTTGTGCCATGTATGTCTACGCCAGCTGCAGGTGTTTGGTAGATACTCTTTATTGAGTTGAAGGAGTTCCACTTTATTCCTATTTCGGGGGGGACAGGAGGTGGGAGTTTCTTCCCCTTGAGGGATTGTTGAGTTTTCTCGGGTGCTTTTTCTGCACTGATGGGTATTATCATGCGATTTTTCTTTGTAGACTGTTAATATTGTGGGTTGCATTGACTGATTTTGGAATGTTTAACCAACCTGGCTGGCGTCCATGGGGATGGATTCCGTGGTCTACAATGCTTTAAAAATGTTGCGGAATTTTATTTGCTAATATTTTGTTAAGGTTTTTTGCATCTATATTCATGAGGGCTATTGGTCTGCAGTTGTCATTTTTTTATACTTTCTTTGTCTGGCTTTGGTGTCCGTGTGATAGTGACTTCATAAAATGAGTTGGAAGGTTATCCCTCCTCTTATTTTCTCTAAGAGATTGTGAAGAATTGGTATTGCCTCTTCCTTAAACGTGTGATAGCGTGCTCCAGTGAAACCATATAGGCCTGGAGATTTCTTTTTCTGGAGTTTCAAGTTTAGAAATTCAATTTCCCTAATAGTTCTAAGTCTGTTCAAATGGTCTAGTTCATATTGGGTGAGTTGTGGTAGTTTTTGTTTTCCGAAGAGTTGGTTCGTTTCACATCTAATTATCAAGTTAATATGTGTAGAGTTGCTCAGAGTATTGCTTTATCATCTTTTTTTTTTTTGTTTAAAGAGAGTGCGAGTAGGGGAGAGGGGCAGAGAGAGAGAGAGAGAGAGAAGGAGAATCTTAAGCAGGCTCCACGAGCAGCCTGGAGCCCGCCGGGGCTCGATCCCATGACTCAGGGATCATGCCCTGAGCTGAAATCAAGAGTCGGATCATAAACCGACTGAACCACCCAGGTGCCCCTGTCATCTTTTTGATAGGTAGTGACAGCCCCTGTTTCACTCCTGATATTGGTAATTCGTGTCTTCTTTTGGCCTCTGTCAATCCTGCTAGAGGTTTGACAATGGTATTGATCTTATTAAAGCACCAGCTGTTTTTTTGCATCCTGTTCAGCCACCCAGGAACCTCCATGCAGCCAGTCCTTTCTTTTCGGTTCATGTTTCTCCGTCCTACTCCGCATAGGTAACATTTTGTTTCCATTGCAATCACCCATTCCTGTGGCCTTTCCTTCCTGCTTCTCCGTCTTGGCAGGCTCTCCATTACTGTTTACCCTCCCGTTCAGCCTGGCTTTTGAAAGCTGACCCTATCTTGCCGGTATCTCTAGAAAGTTTCATTTTTGTCAAGACTGGCTTACGTTACAGTCGCACAAAACGATTGTGCGTTCTTTTAGAGAAAATGTTTTTAGGTTTATTTATTTATTTATTTACTTACTTACTTACTTACTTATTTATTTATTTATTTATTTATTTATTTATTTATTTATTTTGAGAGCGAGCGAGCAGGGGAGGGGCAGAGACAGAGGGAGAGAGAGGGGATCCCAGGTAGGTTCCGCACCATTAGCACGGAGACCAGTGTGGCGCTCGAACTGACGAACTGGGAGATCATGACCTGAGCTGAAACCAAGAGTCAGGTGCTGAACTGACTGAGCCACCCAGGTGCTCTCGGCTATGAGTTCTAAGTAGAACCATTATCACTACGTTATAGGAAACTGGCCTCCTAAACACTGAAAGAATTTGGTAACTGTCAATTTCAAATAAGTCTAAGAGTCCAACAGTGGTGCCTGGGAAGCACAGCCGGCTTGGTACAATACTTGATTTCAAGTCCTGGCTCTGCCACTTACAATCTTGTGAAGCCACCAGGTAGATCCAGGAGGATCTTGAAATGGCGTGAAGCTTCCAGCAACTGGCTGTACCCCACTTGTCATCACTCGGACGTGACACAGTTGGCCCAGAGGGCTGCCTTTTTGCCTTGTTTTCACCCTACCCAGCAAGGCCCAGCTGGACAATTGATTGGCACAGGAACAGTTCTGCCTTGAGCATTGCCATGTCTACAACTGTGCTTCTGGAATCTTCCCTGCCCAGAAAGTTCTCTACTGTTTTCTCTCCTGGTTTGAATTCTCACCACCCTCCAGGACTAGATCGAGTGCCTCCTGCCCAGCAAGGTCTTCTCTGAGCATCCCAGCTCAAACTGATGGCCTCTCTGAACGCCAGTAGGAATCACTGCAAATGCCATTGACCAAGCCCTTCTCGGTAGATTTACCTCTGGACATCATATTGGTTAGGAGCACAGGCTCTTGTCAAGGCACACCTGAGCTTCAGTCTTGGCCCTGCCATGTCCTAGATACATGCCCTTAGGTAACTAACTTCACCTCCCTGGACTTGAGTGACCTTCTCTGCAAAATGCAATCATCTCTGCCTGCTAGGGTCATGAGGCTCAAATAAAATGTCTGAAAAGCTATTAAGTGCCAAATAAATAAAAGGATTATTTTAATATAATGATATTTTAAATATAATAATAATTAAAAGTCAAGGTTAAATGAGAAAATATTCATGCGATAATGTGATAGAATTACAGAGGAGCGCCTGGCTGGCTCAGTCAGTAGGGCATGTGACTCTTGACCTTGGGGTCATGAGTTGGAGCCCCACACTGGGGTTCGAGCTTACATAAAAACATAAGATTAAAGGGGTACCTGGGTGGGTCGGTCGGTTAAGCGTCCGACTCTTGAATTCAGCTCAGGTCATGATCTCACAGTTGGTGGGATCAAGCCCCACATCAGGCTCTGCGCTGATGGCACGGAGCCTGCTTGGGGCTCTCTCTCTCTTTCTCTCTCTCTGTCAAAATAAATAGAAAACACTTAAAAATAAGTAAATAAATAAAAAATTTTTTAAAAGGTTGTTAGGAGAATTACAAAACCATAAGTAAAGTAAGAAAGATCCCTCTGTGTGTGTGTGTGTGTGTGTGTGTTCACAAATACATATATAAAAAGAATGAGAAGACATGCTTTATAATGTTACTCTGATGATGGTTAACTCTGACTAATCATTGGTTTTTATGTTTTCTCTATAATTTGCATTTTTTAGGGTTGGGATGTAGTAGATTTAAAACTAGAAAATATTTTTTAAAAAGAAAAATCAAGTGTGATGATATCTTATGAATTGGTTACTTATATGTACTCGACTATACTTCAGAAAGAGTTTAAAGCAGCATATAATATAGCAAGATAAAAATGGAATGTAAAACAAAATGAAGCAAAGGAGAAAATGAGGGGAGGAACGATAGTGTTAGTGACACTGTTAAACATTTATGATCGCCATCTTGTATTTTCCTGAGGTGTGTTTTTTTTTAAAGAAAGAATGCGTTAGGATGTCTCTTAGTCATGAGTTTAATAGGTAAGATTAACTTGGTAAAAGAAAGGCAGCATTTTGTAGCACGATGTCATGATACTCAAACGATACATAAAAGAAAGAAGAATTTTCTGCTCGTTTTCAGTGTGTTAGAGATTCTGGTTATTTTATTTTTGGCACAGTAGAGAGCCCCAAGAAATGATGGCTGCTATTACCTATGTTATAATATATATCTATACTATACTTGTATAGTAACTTATAAGTTACAAATATGTGTATTTGGTTAGCATTAATTTGGCTTATCTGTTTTGAATGAGGTGAGTGGAGAGGCAGACTGGAGTAAAGAAACGAGCCCAAATGGAGTGAAGTTCTTGGTCTGGCCCTGCCATTCATTAGCTAGGCCTTAACTTCTCGGAAATTGAAGGGGTCTGGACAAGAACCCTAGCTTGGACCATCTAGAGTTTAGTAAAATTAGAGTGTCACTTGTCGGGGAATGTACATTTCCACTGATCCTTCCATTTGACAACATTTATAGTATGTGAGTCGACTTCAGTTATAAAATGTTCATCTTAGATCTGTGTGATCTTAACATAATTTAAATGTCTATTCCACAGAGAGACCCCTCTCCCCCAAGGCTGGCAAAGGATTCGAAACTACTCCACTTACCAAGAACTATTATACTGTGGTGAGTGTTCAGATCAGAACTAACAAAATTTCTTGACTCTCTGTCTGGAACCTTTTCACTTGCTGAGCCACTGATGCGTTGAGGTGACGCTCATAGGAGACTGGGTAAAGTATCGCAAGGGTCTAATGTCAGCTGTGCTACCGTGGAGCTCTTCTGCTGGTAGGCCTCTTACAGATGTCTAGAAGTTTTACATCCACTGTACTGAAAAATTCCAAGGTAGCCCAAAGAGAAATTGGTTCATAAGTAGGCGTGAGGGGGAAACCCAGCAGTTAGATATAGCCTTACCAGATATTAAGAAGGTGAGTTCCCACGTTCCTCTAATGCTATTAGTTTTAAGTGATCGCATACTGTGATTTTATTTTCGAATCAATCCATTATGGTGTCCTCCAAAATATTATGAACCTTGTATTTGAGGAGAGCCCGGAGGGAAGACTGCCCTCTGGCACAGCAGGAGGCGTGGAATGACTCTGGCTTGAACACAGACATGTCAAAATATATTAGCTATAAATAGGACAGATACAGTACTCAAAATAAGTTCCCATTTGAGAAAAAAAAATTGTATTATTCTCCTTAATCTTCCCTCTGCTTTCCTTCACGTCTCCTTTCCAGACTCGGCCCAATCACTAATGAAAAGGACAAATCATTGTAAGCTCTAAGTTTTCTTGTCTGAAATAGTGTCACTTTTGAGAGAGAGAGAGAGAGAGGGAGAGAGAGAGAGAGAGAGAGACAATCTCGAGCAGGCTCTGTGCCATCAGCACAGCTCTCACGAACCGTGGGATCGTGACCTGAACCGAGATCAAGAGTCGGACGCTTAACCGATTGAGCCACCCAGGCGCTCCTTAGTGTCACTTTTCACCCAATATTGGATGTGCATTTGGACTGCATACTCCTTTCATTTTGCACATGGATAATCTTGTTCAACATCTCTATACGTAGCGTTCCAAAAGTCAGAATTGCACCCTTCCACGAGTTTGCTCCATAATGATGACGTGAGTGGTCGTGGGTATGAAAACTCAAGAAGAAGCTTCATAGGGGACATGGGCAATAATCATAGGGGACAATCTTGTCACTATTTTTCTTCTTACATTTCTTTTTTTTTATTTAAAAAAACTTTTTTTTAATGTTTACTGATTTTTGAGAGGGAGAGTCAGAGCATGAGCGGCAGAAGGGCAGAGAGAGGGGGAGACACAGAATCCGAAGCAGGCTCCAGGCTCCGAGCCATCAGCACAGAGCCTGATGCAGGGCTCGAACTCACGAACCGTGAGATCATGAACTGAGCCAAGGTTGGACACTCGACCAACTGAGCCAGCCAGGCGCCCCTCTTCTTACATTTCTGAGGTTAAAATATATTACCCAACAGAGCTAGGCTCCCTTCTTCCTTCCTCCGTGACCATTTCTTCCAGTTTCTAGATGACCCCCCCCCCCGTGATTTAATTTTTGTTTTAATTTTTAAAATGTTTGTTTAGGGGCGCCTGGGTGGTGCAGTCGGTTAAGCGTCCGAC